GACGCTACTAGGGGCTCCTGGCATCGCTACTAGGAACAAGAAGCTACGAACGTAACAACCTTGAACAAGGAAAGCAATGCGTTTCAGTTCATCGAGCCGATCGGATGACTGGCCACTTCGATGTATGGGAGATCTAGAGAGACTGTATTGTCCAGGCCTCTACCAGGGCAAGAAAGATACACAGCACCTACAATGAAGGCTAATAACATCTATAACTCATATATTCCATGCATGGATGGAGTGCTTGGAGTGTGTGGGTAAATGAGTTGCTTCCGCACTTTCTCGGCACTTCTTCGACCCGGCGTCGAAGGGGTTAGACATCAGGTCAGAGACAAAACGATTGTCATGTGTCACTTTTTCCAGGGGTTATTTGGGATGTTTGATGCAGATGGTGTACGTTTCTTCGCACACGCACAGAAGAGAAACGTGTTTTCGCCACTTGCAATCGCACAAGCACCGTTTTTTCGAGTCCGCCCACTCACTCCGAGAACGCCAACGGGGCCATCGCCAGGCACAGTTGGCCCATCGCCTGAAGAATGACTTGAACGAGGTGGAAGATCAGGCGATCCGAGGAACGGGTCGACTCACCGCGCGACGAACGGACGACTCACCATGGACGGATGCAAGGCTTGGAGCCCCAAAAAGGGAGTCTGAGACGTTAATTGCTGACCTAAGAGCGATGGCCTCCAAGCTGAGAGTACTCTGAGACGTGCTCCGAGCCGTATTGGAGCCTTAGTACCCTGATACTGCTCCTCTTTAGCCGTCCTGGGTCCTGTCTGGAGATCTGTACTGTAGGGCTTAGTGCCACGCCTCGGGGCGGCTGGTCCAGCCACACCCAGGTCTCGGATGCTGGTAGGTCTCCTTTTGGTTCAAACGAGTTCCTGCATGTCTCATGATGACTGGATCTTTGTGAGCTGAGGCCAACATGACATGAAGCACTCCACAAAAAGGGCCGACGATTAGAGTCAACCGAAAAACGTTCACGTGTCTTCTGCACGTCCATGCATGTCGATCTATATGGCTGCAGTCCATGCTGCAGCATGTGCATGCGATTTGTTTAAAGTCAGTCACAGTCTTTGTTTGGTCACGTCACCTGCTCGCCAGGCGCAGCGGAACCAGGAGGTGCGGCGGGCTTCTTGGCCATGTCGACAACAAGAAGCGAGTCTTCAAAATCAGAGGTCTGTCAGAACTCTTTGGCTAGCAAAGGAACCTAGTGCCTCCACCAGTGCCTCCGCGCTAGTTACTAGTAGCGATGGCCTCCAACCTACTAGCGACGGCCTCCAACCTACTAGTGATGGCCTCCAACCTATACTAGTGATGGCCTCCAACCTACTAGTGATGCCCTCCAACCTATACTAGTGATGGCCTCCAACCTATACTAGTGATGGCCTCCAACCTATACTAGTGATGCCCTCCAACCCATTGGTTTCATTTGGTTTCCACATGTTTTCCATTCTTCAGACCCTTTAGGCCCCTCTTGCCTCCAGGAGCTCGCCCTACGCCGCCAGAGCTGGGCCAAAGAACAGCCCTCACGGGACCGGGAGACGAGGGCTTCGGTTGAGCCCGTAAGCGTGTTGAGCGAACAAGCCAATGGGAAAGGGATTTTCCAAAAGAACAAGGCCAAAATGATTTCGATGGGACACCAAGTGGACACAAGTGGACACACAAGTATACATCAAACACCAAGTACACACAACAACACCAGCCTTTCGGATGTTTTTCACCGTGTCCCCTTGTTTCTACCCGGAGCGGGCTCTGTCGGCATCGCCCGAAGGGCGATCTTCGAGCGGTGCAAAAGGTTTGCTTGGATGAAACGAACGGTCCGCGGGTCCCTTAGCTTAGTTGAAGAGTCCAATTAAATGGTGTTTCGTGACGTTTTTTGGATCTCCTTTTTGGTGTGTCTCAAAAAACATCGAGCCCCTTTCAGACCTCCAGCAGCAGAGATAGATGATCCAATCGTGTGGACATTGACATAACACGCCAATGTTGGTCGAGATTCCCACTTTTGTACCAAACAACATCTGCAGTTTTTGCTGTTCTACCGTTCGAAAGGACGTCGATCTGTTCGATGTTCTCGACGACGGTGTGAACGTTGACGATCCGTTTCGCGTCGCCGCACCGAGTCGCCGAGCGAAAGGAAGCTCTCCTGCACGAGACGGGGGAGGCAGAACGAAGCCTCGTGGGGCCACCGAGTGGTCGGTGCCCATCCGGCATGATCATGGTTCAAGATTTAATTGTTGTTTGAATGGTTTCCAGCTCCTAAATGTGTTTTAGTAATGTTTGGGTTTTGGTAGCCCAGACACCCGCCGAGGCAGCTCGAGAGCGGAGCTGTGCACAAGCGCTCGCGCGGCACGTGCAAGCGGAAGTGACTCGTCGGGTGCCCCAGTCCGAGGGACCGCGGCTCAGCGGAAGCGGACCTTCGGCGCGGACCTTTGAGCGAGGGACCTAGTAGCGATGGCCTCAAACCTATATAGCGTCCGAACGCTCCAGGAGCGCCGCGTTCGTAGCGTCCGATTGCTCCGGCCGTAGCGATGCCCTTTGTTCCGTTCGTAGCGAACCTTGCTCCGTTCGTAGCAAATGGCCTCCAACCGAGTAGCGATGGCCCTCCCATAGACGGAAGGAATTCACGGGACACAGGACGGGACACAAGGAATCGATTGATCGCTTCCTCCAGGGGTTGCGAAGAAGTGGAGTCAAGAGAACCAAGTCATCAAACAGCTACACGTGGCTACCTGGGGTCTTACCTTTAAAGTGATGAGTGGCGAGTGATAGGAAGCAGGGGTCCATGGTCTATACAAATATACCTTTAGCAAAAGAGGATGGTCATCAGGGTCATCGACTTGCGGTTTTTGAACTTCATTCGAGCGCTTCGCTGGGCTCAACTGAGATCACCCCGGAGCGAACCCTCAAAATCGGCTGAGTTCGCTGGGAACCCTCAAGACACATGTCAGACTCTGAAAATCCGAAGATCGTTGGAGATCAATTTCTTTCTGAGTTGGGATTTATTGCTGTTCCCGATCCTGCTCCAACACACCCGTTTTTTTTCCATGCATGATCGGTCGACCTTATTTGGACCGTATTGCGTGGTTCAAGCTGTACGCGCACAAGCAGAAATGAGTAGAACACAGTGTGCACAGCATGCTGAAACCCATTTGAACGAAAGACCAGTCAGACTGCCTGTACATGTTGTTTTTGTTTTTCTTCAGATATTGTCTTCCTTTCTTTTGTTTGTCTCGACCTATTCAGACCTTTTCTGTTTTATGGAGCCACACCCACAGAGTTCGTGTCCCCTTCTTCGCTTGACCCTCGCAGAATCATACTTTCCCGAACATCAACCGAAGGTTAAATTCCATATCGCTATAGGTTGGATTCCCCATCGCAATGAGGCAATGAGGTTCCAGACCCTGTCCGAATCGCACGAACGAGCTTTGCCGCGGTGCCACGCGGAGCCATGTTCCAATGGCGCCACGCGGAGCCCTCGGGCGGCGCTTGGTGCATCGGCACTGGGGGAGATGGACGGGCAGCTGTCCAGCGCAAGTGGGTCTCAGTGACGGTGGAGAGTCTTTGGTGAAAGAAAGTGGTCATCCACCAACAGCGGAAGTGCGAGAACATGGACCAGAAAAGGAGCCAGAGGCGGTCGCCCAAAAGCAGGATCAAGGCGCTTTAAAGGAAGCTCAAAAGCGATCTGCCACAAGCGAGCTGAACAAGAAGAGAAAGCTGAGGAAGTCGAAGTCGCAAGATGTTCCTTCAAAGCTGGTGAAACTGGAGGAACTTGTAAGCCAATTATCTCCAGAGCAGGAACTGGATGCGCTCAGCAACTTGGAGAAATGAGTGATGGGCCTCGAAGGATTCGGGGGGAGATGTGTGGCAAAAGGAGCGCATCTTTCGCGTGGCTTAAGGGTGTGTTGATTCCTTCCCCCATTCGCGTGGCCGTAGGGAGCCAAGCAAACAAGAAAATACAGAGTCCGGCCGGATGGAGGCCAGGACGGTAAACCGCAGGTTGCAGATGTTTGCAGATGTACTGTTAGTCTTAGCCGGGCCTTAAACACGTTGCGTAGTAGCGACCGGTGTTTCTTTCGACCTTTAGACCTCCCGTTAGGCTCTTCTTGTTGTTCTTTGTTTGTGTTCAAAATAGGCTCTTCTTAGGCTCTTCTAATGCATCAAAATGCAAGACCCCCCAAGAGGTTTCTTCAAGGCATGCTTCAACATGTTCATTTTAGTGAGGGGCAAAGATGTTGAAAACCCAGCAGTCTTTGTTGCCACCTGGGAGAACAAAAGCTGCTTGACTGCAGCTATCATGTCACAAACGAAAATAGCAAGCCTCGGCTTTGTAAGAGGATTTCCCCTCTTTGGGGGTGGGTTTTATGTTAGTTTCATCGAGGATCAATCCAGTCTGTCTTAAATCGGACCTCCACAGTCGTCGAAACCCTTTTCGAGGCAAAGAGGGGGGTAGAGGACGCTACTAGGAGCAAAGGGCATCGCTACTAGGAACAAGGACGCTACGAACGGGGCGAAACTGGCATCGCTACTGGGAGCGTTCGGACGCTACTCGTGGCCATTTGAGGGCCGTTCTTTGACGGCGGATGACTGACACGGACCCCTCAGGGGTGCTGAGAGACGCCTTCTCGAGCAATCTGAAGGAGCTGAAGGGGCATTACTGCCTCCAGCCTACTGGCGATGGTTTTGAGCCTAGTGGCGGTGGCCTCCAACCTACTAGGAATGGCCTCCAACCTACTGCCAATGGGCTCCAACCTACTAGCGATAGGCTCCAACCTACTGGCGATATGGCCCAACCTAGGCGATGGGTTCCAACCAGCGATACTTCCTCCAACCTACTGGCGATGGCCTCCAACCTACTAGCGATGGCCTCCAACCTACTAGCGATGGCCTCCAACCTACTAGCGATGGCCTCCAACCTACTAGCGATGGCCTGCAACCTACTAGCGATGGCCTGCAACCTACTAGCGATGGCCTGCAACCTGCAGCAATCTGACTGAAGGAGCTGAAAAGGCATGACTTCAACAAGGCCATCACGGCCTGTGCCAAGACAGCTCGCTGGGCGGAGGCGATCTCGTGCCATCTCGCGTGGATGAAGAGCAGCGACGTTTTTTCGCAATGGAAGTTCTTGGAGAGTAAAGTACTTGAGCGTTTGAGTGGTTTTGAGGGCCATGAATCATCCAATTTTTATAAGTCGTACAAAACGGTAGATTGTTCGAACCGCCCTACAATACCCCATGCCTGGAAGAAAATTTTTCTCCGTGCCTGTCGCTTGCTATCCATGTAGTCCCGGCCCTTTTGGCTGGTTCTATTATGTTCTATTGAGATGAAAAGGCAAACATTCTGCACAGAACCCGAAGATCCAGAAATTGATACCACAGCCTGACGCATGTCACGAATCAAACTTGATCTTGCCCAACATCTGGCTCCACCGCCGATCCCCACCATGCACGCGTTTCTATACTTCCCGTGTCACGTGTGAGGCCTTGCAGTTGTTATGGGACCGGGAGGATGTGGACGTCATCAGCTTCAATGCCACCCTCTCTGCCTGTGAACGCGCCTCCCAGTGGCACTTCGCTCTTCACCTCCTGACCCTCTTCGATGCGAAGAACGACGAACTCGAGGCAGGCGAGCAGCTGCTGGCGACCGGCCGGCCGGGCTGGCCGGGAGGTCTTAGCGTGGCATCGGATCAGGGCCCCATGTGTTCCGCAAGACCTGGCCTGAACAGGATGTTTGGAGAGTAGGTCCCTCAAAGACCCAAGTCTTTTTCGGTGGTTTGATGACCACTGTGCCTTCACCAGTTGTGTTCTTGGTGGGGCAGGGTGGTCGCGACTGTTTTAGAGGGGATATACTCATATACTGATCTCTTCCATTTTGTTCGGGAGTTTGGCTCAAGAAACACCAGGGCCTTCCTTTCGTGGTGTAGGTGGAACAATTGGACAACTGGGCCCCAAGAAACTTCCTTGCACTCAGCCATAAGCGATCTTTAGATACAGTATCTTTCGGGTGTTGACGCGGTGGTACTTTCCATTGCGGTAGTACTTTGCCTCCTTTAATGGAAGTTTCTCGAAGCCTCCAAAAGATCGTGACGCATGTTTTCTCCTTCCGCCCCATTCAATCTTGGGCGCACGATTGAAGCGCACTTGTTGAAAGCCTTGGAAGATGGATCTTTGGAAGAGGACGGATATGGACGAATGAAATCCTCGTCCCGAGGGGACTGTTGATTGAGCCAGGGTCCGGGCCAAGTCCGTCAGGGGAGTGAGCGCGACGGATGGTTTGGGCAGTGTTTCTGATGAGTGGTCCCTCACAAGTCACCGTTCCATGCTGTTCGTCAGGATTGTTTTACTTTCCCGCTGTTTGCTGTTCTCGTTTGCCCTCGACACACCTGTCCTGACAGATGTGCCTTTCATGGTTTGATACAACATGGCCAGCATCTCAGACATCGACCTGAAGATTCCCTACAAGTTCTTGGGGTTCCACATGCACCCAGAGCTCAACTCGCACTTCAAAAAAAGAGTGCAAGTCAAGCAAGTACTGCTTGGTTGCTTGCCCATGTTTCTTGGTATTGTGGGTCATATTCCAAACAGATGACCTTCGTCCCTGACATGCCTCCTTCCTCGCAGGCCATCGCTGAACAGGCCTGGGAAATGTGGACAACGAGCAAACGGCGTGTCGAAGAGACTGCGGATCACAAGCAGTCGTACACACCCAAGGGGCAAGCCCACCAACCTCACGACCTCGCCTTTCTATTTTGCACATTTGGATCAGAAACGTCCGAGTTGTTGGAGAAACTACTCGGATGGCTGCGAGCTGTTGTGAGGTACCCTGAACTTTTTGAGAAAAAGTGAAACCGATGCGGTTTGACCTAATTTGTGTAGTAACACCTGTGATGAGCGGGATGATGCGATGCTCAAAGGATTTGGGGTATATAATTATGTTTGGAGGGGTTTGTATCTTCTCCTTGAGAATGCCGATATGTTTTCTGCCCTCTGACATTGGAAGGGCAGCTTTTGCACAGAGGATCAAAGCAATCGAATGCCAGACTTTTCCTCGAGGGGATTCGCCGAACCCAAAAGATGCGGTCATAAGAGGTGTTGTTTTGCAGTCGATTTGTATCTCGAATCACAGGATCAAGGGAAGCAAAACAGGCCCGTACTTTAGATGGGAAAGTTGGCTTTGCCATGACTTAAGGAGTATGTTATATATAACTAGTACTAATTCCATGCCATCTGGAAAGGTCCTTTGGACCATATCTCACCTTTGACAGATCCAACTTGCACCTGTCATTTTTCAGAGCTCTTCCTGTTGCTCTTTTCGGATATGAGCTGATATGTTTGTTGCAGGACAGATGATAGTCAATCCTGTGCAAGCGTTGTGAATCAATCCGCAGGGACGTGACGGGATACCTGTTTCATCTGTGTTTTTCCAACAGTTGCAGCTGCGTGCAATTTCAGGCTGCAAAGGAAAGAGCTTTCCCAAAGGCCCTGTGGGGACCAGTGTGGGATGCAGTTTGGTGAAGGCTCCTTTGGATCATCTGTGCTTGGTGAACACTGGAAAAGTACAAAGGTACACCCTCTCCAAAACGAAGATGCTTGGCAGAAGCAGCTGCAACCCTCCATGCTATATAGCATGCTGTCCCCCAGATCTCAGACACTTCCTCTTTGGGTGCGAAGGTTGGAAAAGAACTTGTCCCTAGCGTCCTTGCTCCGTTCGTAGCGATGCCACAACCTGAGATGGGACGTTTGTGGACCCTCCCGCCGCCCACGGTGCCCCGAAACTCGGTGAAAGCACTTCCACCGGATGTGAGCGAAGGCAGACATCATCAGCTATAACACCAGCATGAGTGCTTGCGAGAAAGGGCATCAGTGGAGCTTGGCGCTTCGCCTTTACGAAGAGCTGCAGGAGAAGGCCTGAAGAATGGCGGGAAAGGTGGGTGGGGGGCAGGTTGGGGATTTGGAAAATGAGAAGACCATCAGTTTGACATAGTTTGACCCAACGAGATTCTGCCTCGTTTCCCGCCCTTTGACTACGATGATCACTCAACAGCTTCATTCATCCGGCCACAGTGCCATAACAAACGCAGACGACCGCAAGGAAGAAGCGGTTGAGCGACGACGGAAAAACCTGAGGTGGTCGATAGAGCTGCACTTTTCATAGCTGAACCAATTGATTGGAATGAGATCTGTCCAGAGTGTTGGTATTTTTGTCCAGCCTATTTGGCGAGGCACCTGGACCTAGACACAGAAGGATTGCTCAAGATGTTGTTTTGATCGAAGTCAAGTTGTGGAAGAACTTCTTGCGGGTTCTGATTCCTCGAGGAGGGACGAAAAGCCAGACCTCCGTGACTTGTCCGCCCCATTGGACCAATCCAGGATCGCCAACCACCGGACCCTACCGGGCCCTAGCGGTTGCGACCGTGGCCCGTGGGTACCCTTGGTGTTGTGGCAGATGATTGGTCGAAACAACAGTTCCCATTAGGCCTCTGGTGGGTTGCCCAAACCCCCAAAAGAACTTACCTTTCTTGCCATATCATGCCAGAAGTTGCGCGCGTCACCGTGCACCGTGCACCCCCTTCCGACCTCCGATGGCCTCCACCGTAGGTCGCGTCGCGTCGCTTCTGTCGCGGAGGCATTACGACCAGATCACATCACCTACAGCGTGGCTTTGAATGCTTGCCAGCAGTGGACCGAGGCCCTCGAGCTTCTGAAGCGACTCGAGGTGCCGTGCGGAGGGGTGCGGTCACCACCGAAGAGCGAGTTTCTACTTTCGGGGGACGAGAAAGTCCGATCCGTAACAAGTGCATCGCTACTAGTATCAAGGGCATTAGCAAGAAGCTACTATATAGTAGCTATTTGCTACTATAGTAGTCATGCACTTGTTCCTAGAAGCGTGGCACTTGTTACTAGTAGCTTCTTGTTACTACTAGTACTAGTAAGGCACTTGTTCCTAGCCATAAAAACCCTGGGTTTGAAAGGTTCACGCCTGTACGTTTCATGGATTGGAGTTTGTAGTAGTCTTTGCAGTCGTCAGAAGTCGATTGAGTATGAAATGTTGGGCTGTGTAATTAGGGCCTAGAAGACCTACCAATGGGTTCTTGTAATTGTATTTGGGCCTTCCCAGTGGTCCGACCGGGGGGTCTCCAGGGAAGTCTCCCTATTCGAATATTAATCCACACATATCCGCACCCATTTCAAGACCTGCTTCTCACGACTGTTGGAAGCTAGGTTGGAGGCCAACCGTGGGTCGCTCGGTCGGTTACCAGGTCACTACCGCTTCCAGGTCATGGGTCAGGTCAATTCTCTGACTGGTACTCCGGGGCATCCGGTTCAGGCGAGAACCACTTTGCCACGTTTGCTTCAAGCGATATAGAGAAGTTGAGACCCCGCTGTCGTTGGACCCCGATGTAGCCCCAAAAATGTGGAGGTCCCAGGTTGACCTCTTTGAGCCTCTGTTGGAAGGACCTGTGGAAGGTGAAGACATGTCTTTTGTTTGAACAACTGGGGGGTTAGCAGGTGACCGATGTGACCGAGCTCCTTCATGTTTGCAAGCAACAGACACACCCTGTGCAGAAGTCATCTTCAGTTTAAGGGGTCCAAGACATAGAAACTCCCGCCATACACGAGTTGCAATCAAGCGATGTTTGATGTTTGGGTGGACAATTACATGGGAAATGAGCCTCAAACGTCTGGGGAGCCAAAACTGATGTGGAGAAAGACCGTGGATGCTCAGGAGGTTGCCACCTCCACGACTGATGGTCAGACGAAGCGTAGCTTTGGGGCAGCGCTGGGGGTGATGGAAAAGGTGGGAGAACCCAGAGATGCTCTTTCGCTGCTCTCTTCAGCGGAGCAGTCACGTGGGGAGGGCCGTGAATGTTGGGAGTTTGCTGACCTCATGTGATTTGGTGGCGTCTCACACCCCACCCCTTGGAACACTTTTACAGGGACGCTACGTTCGGGGCTCCTGGCATCGCTACGAGGTACTAGGAGCAAGGACCCTACTAGGGGCTCCTGGCCTTACTACTAGGAACAAGAAGCTACTAGAAGCAAGAAACTACCACTTTTGAGCCTATGAGTTTGGAATAGTTTGGAGACTTGGAGAGTTCTTGTCCAGGCGATGACAGAGACTGTTGGCCCAAAGTCCTTGTAACAAGGGCATTCGTCACTAGTAAGAAGAAGCTACTAGCAGCAAAGTGCCTTACTACTAGTAGCTTGTTACTACTAGTAAGGCACCGACCTTGCAGCTGAGTTTGGCTCTTCCGGACTAAAAGCGAGGGGTCCAAGAGTTCGTCGATCGCTAGAACGAGGTCTTGAGTGAAATGTCCACAAATCCCTTCCAGTAGCTCTGACCCCTTGGTGAAGAAGGCTGAAGACCACGTCGTTGCTCTGTCCACCATGTGTTAGGTCCGTTGCTTGGAGCGAATGAGGATTCGCTCCAAGCCCGTCTCCCACGGACCAACGGACGAGGCGGCACAGTGGCGAAGCGCTGTGGCGCTGCTGCAGCGCATGAGTGAATTGACGATCGGCGCGACCAGCCAATCTGTGGCACTCACGGTGAGCGCGGCGGAGAGGGCTGACTCTTGGTGGGAGGCCAGGGTCGGCTTCGACCTTCGAGGAATGAATCTGTTGGTGTTTAGGGGTTTTGACCTTGGACCTGTTGGGGGTTTTGACGAACCCACGTCCTTGGATCTGGACACCGCCAGGCCTTGCAGCTCTTTGAGCATTTCGATCCGAACCTTCGGCTGAATGGTCACAGCTTCACAGTGGCCTTGCGCGCTGCGGAGAAGGGGCGCCAGTGGTCGAAGGCTGTGTGGTTGCTGCAGCGGATGCAGGTGGCGCGAGTGGAACCGAGTCAGCACAGCTTGAGCCACTTGGAGCGTCGACCTGAGCGTCGCCCAAAGCGGCCCACGTCTTTAGCCGCAGAAACCTGAGTCCTCCTGCAACCTGGAGGTGAGCATTCCAGAAGTCCCATGTTCGAGGCTGAACGGCTGAACAATGGAACCTCCAACCTTTCACGTGGGAACTTCCTCCCAAAACTTGCCTGGAACCTGTGTGAAACGCATGTCACGCATCGTCACGCATCGTCAGGCGTCAGCCCCTCCGCGAGAAAAGGACATCATTAGGCCCCACCTTGGAGTGGATCTATAAGTGCAAATAGAAGCTTTGCCATTGATGTCCGTTTAGGTGGTGAAGAGCAGTTGATTTGGATTTTGTGTGTTCCAATGTGTTCAACTCTGCAGGGAAAACCAGAGAGACCCATTGCAATTCTTCCGATGTTTCAACATCAACTAAATCAGATATGAATTGGAGTCCCGAACGTAGCTTCTTGTTGCTAGTAGTAAGGATGCTCCTAGTAGTACGGCCAGGAGCCCCTAGTAGCGTCCTTGCTCCTAGTAGCGATGCCAGGAGCCCCTAGTAGCGTCCTTGTTACTAAATCATCTTAGAAATATTCAGCCTGCATTGGACCATAGCACATATATAGGTCGTTGTTGAAGGCTGTGCCGGTCCTGTCCTCAGGTACCGTCCTGCAGATCTGTTGGAAAGCGAAGCGTTGGCGGGAGGTTCTGAAGATCTGTGAGGACACCCAATAGCAATGGCCTCCAACCTACTAGCGATGGCCTCCAACCTAGCAAAAGGAACCTAGTAGCAATGGCCTCCAATCTAGTAGCTTCTTGTAGTAGTATTGGCCTCCAACCTAGTAGCGTCCTTGCTACTATGTAGCGATGGCCTCCAACTTGTGAGGACACCAATTATCTTCCGACGCAGATCTCAGACATCCAGGTGCCCGAGACTTGTGGGTGCCCAGCGCGCTAGAGACTTGTGTTGGGGAGGTTGCAGGTTGGGGAGGAGGAGATAGAAGATTTCTTCACAGGCTGATTGCTTTCACATCATAAGTCTAGAGATGTATCAATGTGATGTATAGTTCTTTTGACCTTCCGAAGGTTTCCGAATTGGATGATCTGGACCGTGAACCTTCCATAACGGAACCATACTCCCATGGAGAGAAGTTCAATGAACCTGAATGCGTTTCGCCATGTTTCACCAGTTGCCACACGTCCCCCGGACCAAAGCGCCACTGGAAAACAGGTGTCGAAAACAGGTGTGTTTCACGTGCGAGCTATCCTGCATCCAGGCATCCAGCTACTAGAAGCTGACTAGTAGCTAGGAACGTGCTCATTGAATTGCTTAATTAAGTAGAGGGCAAAAGGGAAAGCATGCTTTAGAAAGAACGTCGTTGTTCCAGCGATAAAACCAACCCCGCCGCGAAGGCGACAAAAGACTCGTGACGTGAAGGTGTCTCTTCAGCGTAGACGTGACGTCTAGCAAGCTGTGGAATGTGTTTTTTGTCCGGCTTGTTCTTGTTCACACATAATTATGTGTTTTTGGTTGGGCTACGCCTTTGCGATCTTCTACTTTTTCAATGCTGACACTTTGGGAGTAGAAAATGGCACATGGCCCTAGCGACTGGTGTGCATCTTTTCGAGGTATAGCTCCTTTTTTCGATCCTCCACGTCGTAGGCATTGCTGAGCTCCTGCGAGCAGTCTGGTCGATGGGAGTTCGCACTTGGCTTGCTCTCTATCCCACAGCTCCGGTCCATTATGACCCAGCACCAGATGCTTCATCTTGCAGTGAGCGCCCTTGCTGGGCACTGGGAGATGGCCTTGAGCCTTCTGAACGAGGTGAGCTCTACCTGAGGGTTGGGCTGGCTGGAGTGTTGGGTTGTCATGATGCTGTGATAACTGGGTCTTCCGTGATGGAATCCAGACACTGACACCAATTCCACAAGCACACATCCTGCCACATCCACCTGGAAGTTGCTGTAACCTCAAATTCTACCAAGTCTTACTTGTTACTTGTTACTAGTAGTAATGCCCTAGCTACTAGAAGCGTCCTTGCTACCTGTAGCGATGGCCTCCAACCTGCTAGCGATGGCTCCCAAACAAGCAAACTCTCCCTTCCAAATCATTCCTCCAGTCTTTCGTCCTTCCCTCCGCGCTACTCATCCCGCGCGGCCTGTGCGAGGCTGCGGAGCCGGACGTGCATGCGTACAACGCCTTGCTCGAGGCGGTGCCACATCCTTTGAAGTGACCGGAACGCAGCGAGGGCCATTTCCCAGCACGCGCAATGGCCTCCGCCCCGCACGACCGGAAGTTCCGGATGGAGAATTCTTGTTGAGGGATCTTTGGGGATGTTTCGGGGAGGTTTCGAGCGGGTGGAGCTCGTGTGACGAGGTCGAATCAAGTCGGAACATGTTGGAACTCTTGGGCCACTTGAGACCCTTTGATTTGTAATGTACACTTGGGGCTCCTTCCTTCGATTTGTTGGGACTCGGTCTCAGCACCGCTCGAGGTCGATGAGGTGATCGCTCCATCAACGGCCGGTCGTGCCGAAAAGACCCGTTCCAAAACAAAGTAGGTCAAACAAGAAGCTACTAGTAACAAGTGCATCGCTTCTAGTAACAAGTGCCTTACTAGTAGTAACAAGAAGCTACTAGTAACAAGTGCATCGCTAGTAGTAACAAGAAGCTACTAGGAACAAGTGCCTTACTAGTAGTATTTAGAATTTAATTAGAATTGTAATTACTAGCAAAGGAATCTACTAGGACCTTTTCGCGCGCGCGCGCGGGGGAGGGGGTAGGAAGCTACTAGTAAGAAGTGCATCGCTTCTAGTAACAAGTGCCTTACTAGAAGTAACAAGAAGCTAGTAGAAACAATAAGCTAATAGCTTCTTGTTACTAGTAGTAAGGCCAGGAGCCCCTAGTAGCTTCT